CAGCCACCTCCAGCACTGGCTCAAAATCTGGATCTAGTAGTCTGTTGCCCCAACAATTACCTGATTAATGGAGAAACCCACACTCAAAGGGGAGTATGGAGCAYACCCTGGGCTGGCCCAGCCCCAGCTTCAGCTACTTGCAGCCCAGGGGACACATTTCAGCCGGTAGCTCCTCCCAGCTCTGTCCTTGCCAAGCTGCCCAGGAGCCGTGGGCAGAGCCGTGGCAGTGCCAGGAACCTGCGAGCAGAGCTCAGGGGGGATTGTCACATCCCCATCCTGTCCCGGGGAACTGTCCTGTCACCTCAGCCCCAGGTGGGCGCTGCCAGAGGGGGATGCTCCATCATTCGGTGCCTGTGGAGGCTGCAGGAGGGGAGAGGCAGAGGAGGAGGAGGAGGAGGAGGAGGTGGCAGATCTCTCCGAGCTCCTGCCGGTGCTCTGCAGCCCTGTGCCAGGGCCAGGCTGGCGGTGGTGGGCGTTCGTGACTCATGATCCCCGATCTCCGTCCGATGACACATTGGCTGCCAGCAGGACGGGCCCCCCGCCAGCACAGCAGCCCTGCAGCCTCACGGGAGGGTGGCTGGGCTCTGCCAGCAGCTGTGCTGATGCAGATGGGCTGGGAGGGCACAGCTGCAGCCCTGGGRTGCACAACCTGAGCTCCCCCCTGGCTGGGTGGGTAACGGGGCAGAGCAGGACCCTCTGTCCCGATGCTCAGTGCGGGAGGGCAGGGGCAGAGATGGGACCTGGCCAGGGCTGAGCGCAGCAGGCCATGGAGCCAGCCCAGCTCCCTCACCTCCCACAGCACCCTCCCTGCCTGCCTGCCCAGGACCTGGCTCCCGGCACCGGGCCCACAGTGACAAATGCCGTTAAAACATTCTTTATTAAGTGAGAAATCTCACTGCRCTCCCCACGCCAAGCCCTAATACAGTGCAGACCTAAATACAGCACTAATGCGAAAGCTTAAAGGATTTCCCATAATTGAGCAAAGCTGGCAGAGGGGCAAGAGCCTGGCTGGGGGGAACTGCAGCCCACCTCCCTTCTCAGAATGGGCTACCCTCAGTCCAACCCCACTGGTCCAATGTGGCCACAGCCCCCACCCTCAGACTGTGCAATGTAGGAAATTAAAGYCTTCCAAGGCCTCATCCTGCCCAGCCCAGAGCCCCGAGCTGCCCTCATTACCCTCACCAAAATCCCCTTGATTTATGCAATAGCACAAGTAGCATCGTCATGTGTGACCTGTGTGTCACCCGTCCATCCTCCTGCTGCCAGCCCTGCTGGGCCCTGCCTGTCCCAAACCTCGCTGCGGGTCACGGCAGGGCTGTGGGCACATCCAGCTTCCAAAGCACCAGGGATGCTCTGGGCTGTGGGCACATCCAGCTTCCAAAGCACCAGGGATGCTCTCGGCTGTGGGCACATCCAGCTTCCAAAGTACCAGGGATGCTCTGGGCTGTGGGCACATCCAGCTTCCAGAGTACCCAGGGATGCTCTGGGCTGTGGGCACATCCAGCTTCCAAAGTACCAGGGATGCTCTGGGCAGGGGAGCGGCTGAGGCGGCACCTGCTGCTCCCACACACCCCAACATCACGGGGTGGGGGTGGCCACCAGCACCCTGCACCCCAGAGAATGAACGGCCTTACCTTTGCATCGCCCCTGCCTCGCACAGCCACACACGGCTCTGAGCACAGCGGTGACAACATCCCAATCTCCTTGCTGCCATGGCAGGGTGTGGCCCTCGGGCAGGCTCCTRATGGCTTTGATTCAGACTTCTGTTTCTGTGGGGGAAAGCAAAACACAGTTTTCTTCAATAAGAGTTTTTGCAGAAGCTTTGCAAAGCACACGCACCTTCGGTTCGGTTCAGACATGCACAGCCCCAAACAGCCCAGCACCCCTTGATGTGATCACCCAGAGCAGATCACCAGCAGGATCCCTTCCAGACATGCAGGGCTGGGGACAGATGGGGACATGGCCACAAAGCGCTCAGGGCCGTGGGGAGCACAGGACATGCGGGAGCTGCAGCAGAAGCCCTGCCATGGAGATGGGCTGTGTTTGGGCGCTGTGGAGCATCAGAGCAGAAACCGCATCGATTATTACAGACACAGCGGTGGCTGCGGAGGGTGGGAGCAGCGGCTCCCTCGGGAAGGCTCCGGTAACATTTACGAGCAAATAATTTACGGGAATCATGGAGCAAAGCAGAAATACCTCGGTGGAAGGCAGCTGCAGCTGTGAGGAGAGAAATGGTGCAGCAGCACCGAACCAGGGCCAGCTGGGAGCTGTCACCGGGCTGTCCCCMAGGGGCTGCATTTACACTCTCGGGTCCAGGGCAGATGCCAGGGCACATGCCTGCTAAACGGACTGGCAGAACCACCCTGGGAAAGGTGAAACAGGGAGGGAAGGACAAAGCAAACACCGTCCAACTGAGCCCAGCCTGCCTGGCACCCCATCAGAGCTGCTTGCCAGTGTGCCGCTCCTCCAAGCCCATCCCCTCCAGGCTGTGGCTTTTTCGGCTTCCCTGCCTATGGGCACCTCAGAGGTCTCCTGGCTTGCTCACAGGGATCCTGTGTGTGCTGCCATTCCAGAGATGTACCAGGGGCAGGTCCCACCACCTTGGTGCATTGTCTGCACAACAGCTCAGAGCACAAGTGACAGGGTACAGGCTGTTCCTCACACTGCCCTGCGCTCTGACCYAACCCCTCCTGGGGACAGTAAAGGGCTGCTTGTGTTGGAGAGATATTTTAGATACACAACTCACTGGGGATTAGCCAAATATTTCTCCATTCTCTTATTTCTCATAATAAATAGATCAAAATTACCTATTTATCCAGCACTAAGTCCAGATTGAATAAAAACTGGCTTTGGACTATCTGAATATGGAGCAAGTCTTGAAAAAGTGTATTTTTCCCATGTTCCCACTGAAGCTTCAACAGCCAAAGAGCTAAATGGAGATTTYTGTATTAAACTTGACTTTCCCGTACAAACAAACCCTAATGAAAAAGAAGATAGATGGGCCAGGTGCTGCAAGACTTCAAAATGACACATGCTGTAAATACAGTATTTTGAATAATTTTGCTCAGATCTTTTAATCCAACTCTGCCTATAAAGCACTTTACAGCAGCTCCTCCTGTAACTTCAGCAAATGGGCCCCAGGTAAAATCCCACATCCCTGGCCCAAGGATGCTGTTTGGTCTTGAAACAGTTTAAAGTYTGTTGTTGATGGACTGCCCTCAATTTTCGGTGCTAGTGTGGGACTACCACCCCCACTCCTCCTCCATGGGGGAGGYTTCTCCTGAGCAGAGCTGGTGTCTCCAAGCAGCCAAAGCTCAGACCTTCCCACAGCTCCRAGGAAAGCATCACTTGACAGCCCCTGTCCAGGGAAACAAAGCCAGACCAAAGCTAGCAATAAAAATTATGAGTAACCATTCGGGAAGGATCCCGTGCTTCCCCATCAACTGCCTAGAAAAGTTTCAGTTCCACTTTTTTTTGGATCTTAGAAACAATTCAGACATTTAAGTGTGCCATCAGACAAGGCAGGAGTCATTTATAGAAGAAAGCTCTAAGTGGCCTTGACACACAAATAGAGTCAATTAACCTGCAAGGAGAAGTCAGGGGAACAGGCTGATGAAAAAGCAGCGGTTACATAATTTGTCCTGGGCTCGGTCTGTCTGTTCTCAAAGTCAGCAGCTTGTCCTGCTGGGGATGAGGAGCAGTGTCTGCCCAGCCTCGTCTGGCAGTGATTCCTCCAGCAGCGCCTCCTGCCCCGAGCAGCTCTGCTGCACCCAAATTCCTTCACACACTTATTCTCAAACTCCTAATCCCTCCYGACTCCCAGGAATCAGATTTTTAAACTCCTTTGTGAAAATGGCCAAGGATCTGGTGCTGGCACAGGCCCCTCTAGCTGCACCATGCGGGCTCATCCGTCACGCTGGTGTCCCATCATGGCCTGGGTGACACTCACACGTCACAGGGGCAGTCACTCACATCCTTGAGACTCCCAACGTCGTCCTCTGCTGCCCACAAGCCAAGTAACGCTGTGCCCTGGGACAGCCACGTGCCCTGGCTCGGTGCCTCCAGCTTTAAGCCTCGATGGAGCAAGGGGTGACCTCAAGCCAGTTTAAGGATAAAAGCCCCTTTTCTGCAGTGCTATTGGTAAGAAGGTGGTGACCAAAGTGGCCATGCTGTTGAGTGATTTTCTTACCTCTAAATTATGCAATGTTACAGAAAGGACAAACGAGCTCATCAAGAAGCAATTTTCTCTTGCAGCAGCCCAGAGCAAGCTCAGCCAGGGTGGCTCCAGAGCATGGTGAGAGGCAGCCCCAGCCTGTGCCAGCTGGAGGAACGAGCCTGAGCGGGCAGCCCGGGATGAGCCGGGCACTTGGRAGAGAGCTGGGGACTCCAGGCTGCTGCCAAAGGGGAGCTCACTGTTGTATTATTGCACTGGGACGTTCAAAACCGTATCTGACACAAATGCTGAAAGAGAAAAATTAATACACACATCACTGTGCTACAAAAGCTGCAGGCCTTTGAATGGGAGTCGATTGATTCTTCGTGGTTATCTTCAAACGCACAGCTCTGATCTCCTCTCTAATCACATCACAGACAGGGTCAGAAAGGAAGCATGGAAAAATACAAACCAAGCAGACCACATCACATGTGTCTCCRAAGGTCTAAGGCATGAGAGAAACCAAAAGGCAGCATCTGGAAAGTTTTACTTTTTATTTTTCTAAAATACAAATGTCTGTCTTGTGTTAGTAACTTTAATATGATAGGCCGAATGCATCCRGTAAAAAGGAGGCACTGGCTACAGAATTCAAAATACTGAAGGTATTTTCTGGAAAGAAATTTATTCTGTTGATCTACACTTCAGATATAACATTGATTCAAATTCATTAGTTATTATTTTTACATCAGAATCTTTGAAGTTTGGGACTAATAAAYTGGAACTTGAAAAGTTTTTAAAGTAAACTCCTATTAATGTGTAGATATGGATCCATAAAAAACATAACCAAGAATTTTATACACTTTATTAAAAGATCAAAAAATAAACAATAACAATATAGAAGTAACATACTAAAATGAGTAGCATTATGCACATTTCTAAAGCACGTACAAGCACTACAGCAATATAATGTGGCAAAAAGAAAAATAAATTCAAAGCGTACACCCTGTTGGTAGCAGTTGAGGGAATGAACTATCCTGTTATGGAACTGAAATACTGCATTAACCTATGCCTGTCTGGATCCAATGATATTTTAATTTCTTATAATTCCACAGGGCTAAGTGTAATTGTTTGTATATATTTTCTAAACTATACCATTAAATTGATATCTAATGTTTCCCTTACTTTGTTTTACCAGAAATGCCTATGAAAAGAAGAATGTGCTTCAAAGATCTACTTTACACAGTACAGTATAAATGTTTTTATATATTTAAATTAAAAATTGACAATTTAGGAGAACATTCTCTCTCTGATTTTAGTGATTGCCTAAAATACAATTCTCTATTTATAAAAAAAAATAGTGATCTGTTGTCGGGTGATGTAATAAAGGGTGGGGAGTTGGTTCATTTTCATGATCTAAAATAAAAATATAATTAAAACAAAGCTAATTGGAAAGAAAAAAAAAATCCCATAATCCAGTCTAAGAATGGTCTTATCATCCCCTCATCTGCTAGGATACAAAAGCCATGGCAACAAAATCATTTGGCTTCCACCACTATCAAATAGCATCTGTGTACAGTAATAAAGAACTGGAACCTTGTAATTCGGTGTCAGGTAATTCTCTCTGTTGTGTGTTTGGAAAAATAACTTCATTTTATTTAACAGTTGTGTTATTTTGCATGTTTAAATATCTCCTTTGAGAGGCATATAGAGTTATTTTTGATGATAGAGGATGTCAGTAAAGATCACTAGCAAAGATTTTAGCAGTGTTGTCATGATCGTGCTCATACCCCAACGAAGTTTGACCAGCTATGATTCATTTCACATAGTGCAACATATTTTTCTCTCATAATCCTAGAAATGAGAAAGAGCTTGATTATAGAAATTGATTACGGCAGAGGGAAGCCTTAATCGTGTGGTGCCTTGAACTAGCTGATTATTTCATATTAAAATCTAGGTTATTATATAACACCAGAGAGAAAGATGCAACATCTGATTTTTCCTCATTTTAAAGACCCTGGGGCTGCTCCAGTTAAGCAAACGACCACTTGCACAGCCCCGTGGTGCAGAGTGGGCTGGCTGGGCACACGCTGGCATTGCCAGGGGTTGGGAACACTGGCCAAGGACCAGCCCTTGGGCTTGGCAACAGCTCAGACCTTAACTCTGGGCAGGCAGGGAAGGGTGACAGTGACATCAGGTGCCACCTCCCATCAGTTCTGCTCTGGAGGACTCAGTGCTCGAGTCAAGACCAGCCTCACAGCAAAATCAGCGACTTTTCTGAAGCAAATGTAGGGCTTGGGTTTTGCAAGAAAAATAAAAAAATAAACTTTAAAAAGAAAATCCAACAAAAACTGAAACTTGTTCCAATCAAAAATAAATGGGTCAACACAGGCGCTTCAGCTGCTCCAAAATCCCCTGGCACTGCAGAGCCCCAGCAGTACCAACACAAACAGGAGCAGAGGCTGCTCACTGAGAGGCCACAGCTTTGCTCTCCTTTGGGGCCAACTCCGAGGGGTTTGTTAGCCCCAGCCTGGAGCACCCAGCTGACCACACTGCACCAGCTTCCACCTCCCTGCCCCAGCACCACCGTGTGCCTCTCAAACCAACACCACAGCTGTCACACAGCACAAAGAACTGGTCCCAGACAATCCCAACCCATCCCTGTCCATCCACGGCTCACCAGCTCCTTCCATTTCGTTACCTTGCCCCAAAAGGTTTATTTTTTTTAAAAAAATCAATAAGTTGCGACATTTGAAATTCRCTCTGGGATTTAAAACACTCGCCACAATGACAATCACCTCCCACAGATAAACACTTCCAGCTAGAAATAGGATTAGGTGCTAGGAAAAATGTGTGTGTGTGCTGCCACGGACCTCCCRGTCCTAATAGGATTCACGGAGAACACAACCTATCAGAAACATGACCCGGGGTGTGTTTGAAAATGTAGGCTGATTAAAAAAAGTAATTTGAATCTTTGCTAGTGACCTTACTAATTAATTCCGCACCGTTTCCCATTCTCTGTGCTGCAGGTTGGAGCTGACCTGTTATCAGTCTGCTGTATAATAAGCTATGGCAAACTACAAAGCTTTTACAACAGCAAAGCAACATCATGCTTTCAGATAAGTTTTATAGCAAAAAACTCCTCCTTTTCAAAGCCTTAGTAATACCTATCTCTTTTACAAACTTTTCCTGTATTATTACAGACTTTTTATATTCAAAATAAGTTCCAAGGATTTCTTTCGTGGACTATGTACATAAGTGCAAAAAAGGTGTGTCTCACACATTCGTACACTAACTGAATCAGTTTAACTGCAGCATATTTGTATCTTCAACACTGTTACGGGGTCATTCCACAATATTTTTTTTTCTTATGTACAGTTTTTGCTAATATAAATTAGTATTAAAATAGTTATATGCTTAATTATTTAGCCCTGATCGTAACGTAATCGTGTGAGTGTTCAATTTCTGGAGAAAAGAAAATTGCAGGCAAAGCTACAGTACTGAAACGGATTAATTCTGAATTCCCACTGTGTGAATGGATGTGWAATGAAAGCAAGACCGGTCACTACGTTGTAAATACAGGCTGCCTTGTTTCTGAAGTGAAAATACTGTGGAATAACCCTTGCCACACAACAATTTCTACAAGCTATAAAACCTGACTCTAAATCCATGTGTTGTAAACTTCTTGACTGAAAAAGTGACCTTAAAGACACAAATTCAGCGTTCACATGGGACTTTGGGATTTTAAAAATATTCAATCATATCTTTATCTGACAGTATCGAACTGTACCTTTAACAAGCTCATACTGTTACACATCACTTTTAATTTACATGTGAAAATTTCACAAATAATGTATACAAAGGTAGCCATGTTGTAGTTTTGTTGCCATAGCAACAACAACTTAATATAATTAGTTAACAATGAATCTATCATTGTAGGAGTTACATACAAAGTTAATTTTGTTCTTAAACTGTAAACTATACAAACTAGTTATGGACTGTATTCTATACCTTACCATGCTTCAGTGTTGGTTTAGAATATAACTAAATGGGCTGAATACATGTATTAAAAATTTTAAACTTTCTCTAACTCTCCTTCAAAATTAAATTCATTAGTTACTAAAGATATCAAAAAAAGCAATAATGAAAACCTTAAAAACTAATGGTAGAGAAATGAAAATATATGACATGAATTAATGCATTGTAGCCTAATAACAATGAGTTGTAGCTCTATTTACATTTGGATTAGGCTATCAACTATTTTTTTTTAAAGTTATTACAGTCTTTAACATACAGTATATACTCTAAGGCCTTCAACAGGCACATGGTAAAATCAGGTCAATATCAAACTAAATCCATTCAACAGGAATGGGAAATTAGATTTTCCTCATAAATTTCACCTTTCTCAATTTTCATGTCTGTGAAATGTACAAGGGATAAACAAAAACGAGGRCTCCAGTTTCTCAATCGTTGTGTACCCGCGCGTCCTAGAGCCATTCCTCTACCGCGTGTCCCGCTCTGGCCACCCGCGCGCCCGGTCCCGGGGGCTCCGTGGGGTCCCCGGGGAGGTAACGGCTTCTAGAACGTTTGCGATGCAAAAATACACAGTCCAAAATCATCGGCTAAAAATTTCCAACTAAAAAACCACGGCTGATTGTGAAATCATGTTCCAAATTACTAAAAACACTGTATTTAACAAAAATAATCTTAATAGTTTTATGAATCCATTTTATTTTAAATCCCTCTTTTATTGTCTGCTTATGTTACAGTTTAGTAGTAGTACTTTTATTGAAACTACTAACAACCTTTTTTTCGTGAAAATGATCAATCTCAGCTTTCATTTTCCCTCTGCATGACCCGTTTTATCCAAGTTTCAGCATTTCTTGCATATTGTTTGCATAAGGCTGAGAGAAATGGACAAAGAGAAATAACTTTGGATAAATAAAAAATATAGGTTCATGGAAAGTGGGAAGCTTATAAAAATGTCACTAAAATTATATTGATTTAAACAAACTTACATACATCTCTTGTCAAATAAAGGATGATATTCATGCTTTTATGACATTTGTTTAGAGTCACTAACTAGCTCGGTGACTTTGTAATAGTCTATTTAGGAAATTTATAGTCTGGCGACTGTTTTTTTTTTTCTTTTCTTTCTTGAACAAAGAAAATTAGAGCAAGTCATTGCACAACTAGTTTAAATAGTGCTACCTCAAAATGGCATTTTTGCCGAGATTGTTTTGAATTTGGTGAAGTTTAGTGCTTCAAGCTTTTCTTTCCTTAAACTCATTTACAAATTAACTCTAAATTTGCCAGCAATATAAAAACTGTTGTGGCACCTAATATAACTACCCTGAACATCCCTCATTGGACCTCTTTAATAAAAAATAATCCTTAAACGCCTTTTTTTTCAGTGCTTTAAATGTGACATGAAAACAGCTGTATTCTAGGTTTACATTCTATGCACATCTATGCCAGATGTTTAAGTMGATAAATAAAATAGGAGGTTACATCAAAGTGTCAAGATATACAAAAATCCATTTAGCACTGAAAAAATTTCAACCTCCTTGAACTCATAAAGCCATACAAGCTTGAATGCATCCTTTCTGGCTTAAGAAGATCAGCTCTGTTCTTTGTTGAGGCACTGGCACAGGTTGTGCAAAACCCATTTTTGATACACAAATAATTTCAAACAGGAAGTACTCAAATCCACTTTTTCCACTAACAATGTTATGGTTCTGGGAAACAGAAACTCAGTGGTGAAAAGAACAGGTGTGTGGTCACCAATACAAATGAGAGTCACTGATTTCAGGCCACACCACCGCTTGTGAGCACGGATGGCTGGGGAACATCCACAGACACAAGCGACTGTCAAAACTCAGGGTCCATAAACGAGGTCTCAGGATTGKTTTTTTTCCCCACTCTATCAGGGTTTGGTTCAAAGTCTGCTGAATTGAACAAAAGGATTCCTCAAGGCCTTTTTGAGCTGGGCTCCTCAAAGGTTTGTGCTGTGAGTGAGTCTCCATGGGCAGATGGTCAGAGCCTGCTCTGGGGTGCACAGGCTGCGCCCCAGGTGCCCCTCCATCACTTGTAGCCCATRGAGATACACACCTAGCAAACTGTCTGTGCTCACACTGCACAAGAGGGGGCAATGAAAATCAAACCAAGGCCCAGGAATTGGGACAAGAGAAGAAAATTTGGTTGTCTGAATTTGGCACTCTACAGGACCACTGTGAGTTCGGGGTGGTCACCCCTCCAGACACTGTGAGCTGGCCTCTTGCTTGGTTTCAATGACCATTCTCTTTCTCCTTGTACGGAGTTGATGGATTTACAACAGCAAATCCATCTCTTGCATAACGGCAATGATACTGTAGAGCTATGACAGGGATGAATTTGGTGGTATCCTCGACCAAAATGCATTTCTGCAGCCAGATTGTTCAGCAACGCAGCATAACGACAGGCGGGGCTGTCCAGGGTGCACGGGCTGACGTGGTTTCATTCGTGCGTATGAAAAGGAGGTATTGAGAACTAGCCCTTGTTGTGCAGCAAACATTGCTCTTGATCAAGTAGAAGGTGCCAGAAAAAATCCACTGACCAACAGGAGCTCCATTAAGATGAATGTTTATCTACAGCAGAAAGCTTATGCTGAGCTTTTTGCTGCTTTGTTACTGCTGTGTTTGCTTTAAAGGGCCAGAGATCAAGAGGGGGTGGGAAAAAAATCACCCACTTAACAGAAAATGGTGATTAAATAAATGGGGCATGCTRACAAAATTTCAAGAAGAGACACATACAAGATTTCAGGCCGAAAWGTTTCAGCATGCTTGGTGGAGACAAGCCCCAGGACTTGGTGCTACCCAGCCTGAGCTGAGCCACAGCCCCGGGCCCTCCCCAGCCAATGGCTGGCACCTGCTCCTCTCCAATGCAATGAGCTTTTGCCCAACTGAAGCTATCTCACTCCACCACCATTTTTTTTGTTGTTTGTTTTGACTGCACCATGAGAACAGCGAGAGAGATTGTGCGCCGTTTGCAGCTGAGAATGCACTTCAATGGACAACAGAGCTGCAGAAATCCCTTGATGCTTACCCCTGTCCGAGCAAATTGTTCCTGTCCCCTTATTGAGCCTGGGCTTTTGTGTTTTTTTTTTTTTTTTAAAAGTTTCCAGAATCAGCTCATTGTATTGAAAGAAATACCCTGAACTGGACTAAAATTACAGCTGTCCTTTCATATCACTTGTACTAAAAATTTGGAGAGTATCTGAAGGCAAATTTTAAATGATAAAAGGAGCATTTAACATAAGCAACTTTAGCTGACATTAACAGTAAAATCCAGCAAAGGGCAGAACATTCCTGTGTCGTGTTTTTCAAGCACATAATTCCTGTTTCCCACAATAACATTTTTAGTAAAAAACAAACAAAACCCCATAAAACCTACAGTATATGAAAACTTAAGACATAACAATAATGAAAAAATGGTATTGAGTATACTTGATAATGATGTACACTTTAAAACAAATCAATAGACTATGATGTAAACAAAACAGTAAGATAACACTTTAAAAACAAGACAAACATTTATCCATCGATAGTATACAGTAAACCAACAGTCCACTGTGCAGATGCACTTATCAGGATGGTAGTCATAAAATGATTAAGTGTGTTAAAGTAATGTGTTATAAAAGTCTATTATAATTTCCTACTTGTATATCTCATATAACAGAGCGCTGTTTGTTAATTGTTTCTATAGTGCTTTTTTTTTTTCTTTTTTTTTTGACATTCCCATTGATCAGTTTTTGGTTAACATGTAGGCTGCAACAGGCTTACTGTAGAGGTGGTAGAGAACGATAGAGGGAAGAAGGGATATATACAGAAAGGCCATGCGCAGCTTCCCACCAAGAAGTCCTGGTGCTCCATAATTTTACTGTTCAGAATTTCAACATGGTCTGCTGCAAGGGAAAGAAAAAACAACAACAAAGAATAGTGAGAAGTTAATACATCTATATTTTAAAAGTCATTCTAATAAAATACATTTACATCCCCATTGTGTTACTCAAGAGGTTGCTGTTAGTGTGTTGCAGAGAGACATTTTATTCCATTTTCTGACGTAGGGTGAAATTGCCAATAACACATTTGGCATCCACTTAAATCTGCACTTAGGGCTTTCTCTTTCCCATGCACTTCACACACAATGACAAGACAAATAATGAAAGGAAGAGGTGGAAATAATAATCTGATTTTCGGATAGGATGCCAGGCAGAGGTTGACYAAGSAGAGGGCCAGAGCAATGCCCAATCCCTGTTGGCTCTTGTTTCCTTCAGACAGTCACATTAAATCTGAGCCTAAGGAGTCACAGGCCACAGGCAAACTGAGCCCAGAGATAAAACACAGACACAGAAACCCTGTGCTCAGGGAACTTCTTCCAGGAGCACACGGCCTGTTTTGGGATGCACTCACAAAAATCCTACACTGAAGGACCCAACAAAGGACAACAACTTGTCTCCTGCAGAGCTAGACTAACCAGCCTGGCTACCACAACTTCATCAACCATGGAGGAAAAGAAAAACATCTGTCAGAGCAGCAGACAGATGGGTGCTTCCATCACCCAAATCCCATTCAGGGAGAGTTTCCTGAAAAATGCTAAAAACAATCTCAAAAACTTCAAGATGAAGCTCTTCCAATTGGGTGGACCAGGCTGTTTTACCTGTGTTATGGAAATGGGTTAACATGAGAGRTGTCATGTCTGTCTGTCTGTTATTTGGAACAGCACTAGAGTCTATGCTGAACATTTTCACTGATGGGGATAGCTTGGTGTCACCCCTCATCAACAGGGTCCACAGCCACAGTGAGCAGGTCATGTATACATATGGTGCTTAATTAAGGTCAGCASAGATAAGGGCCACCACTGAGAAAAGTAACTTCTGTTGATTGCTAATAGATATCATTACGGAATTGTTTGCTAAATTAATTTCCACCATTTAAGTACTTTCCTGTAATGTGTGACCCAAGGAAGAAATGGGTTGCATATCTGCATATACTAAATGGCTGCTTTGAGAAAATCTGGTGACCTCTTGTTGAATTGGCTGAACTGCTCTTTACTCTCTTGGGGTAAAAAACCACAGTCAAGAACTGAAACCATCCAGGAATTTTAGCTCATGAAAATGAGCTAAAACTCACAAAGAAGGGTGAGAGTGAAGACTATGTTGCTTGCCACATTAATTTTRATCTTTAACCCACCATCTTCTGCCCACCCCAAGCCAGCCCTGCAGATGCATAGCAGCTGCTGCTGACCCAATCCTGCTTACCCCAGGAAAGGAAATATGTCACTAACAGCAAGAGAAGCTACACCTTTTCAGCTGACTCATTACCAGAGCAGTCTTTCCCATCAACACAGCAAATCCCTGAGGCAYCTGCAGGCAGCTGGGAGGCGTGCAGAGCAAGAGCAACCTGTAAATGGAGCCGTGGGACTGGGGGGATGCACAGGGAGGCTGAAAACACCGCAGAACAGGTACAGCAGGCACAGGAAACAGTGCTCGTTATAAACCACAGGGCTGGTCCATGTCGGTGCTGCAGCTGCTCAATTCCTCTTGAGTTGGCAGAGCACGAAGCCAGTGGGGTCCCACAGGCTCAGCCCCTCTGCCTGAACCAGCCCTGTGTTCAGGGGATGCAGTGCCCATGTACAAATCAATCCACCGTAAAGAGAAAWACCAAAAAGGAACTTACTGTTCTATCGGAAACTTCTACATCTGTGAAACAAACATGCTGCTACTCAGTTCATCTACTGATAACTGGGATATCTACAGCAAAAAAAAACAAAGAACACAACACATTAAAACATTGCCTTGAGATCGGGCTGTTCATTCTGTCTTCAGTATCAGGCTARTAAGTACATCAGTGTTTTAGAAAACAGGATCCACTCCCAAGTCTTTTATTTTGCTACACATTAARTACGAGGTAGCTGCACCACAACGGATGCCTTGTGAGTATGTGATAATCATATTGGGATTTTGACTCCATAGACTACAAATCAGACAAAAATCCCCTGAAACTATCTGGCTGAAACGAGACTCATACAGCCACAGAGCAACGCTGCACAGGAATTTCTACTTTCCTCTCACAACCAATACAAGTCTGAGTAAGACCTGCTCTACCTGAAAATAACAACAAAGCACAGAAAAAGACTGGCAATTCCTACTSCGAGCAGTAAAACACTGCCTAGGACTTATGTAGGCAAAACTCCTACTGAAATCCTCATGACCTCACACCCGCAGAAGACTAGAGGATGCCCCCAGAGGTATTACTGCCATTCAGCATGGCTAACAGCCTCCTACAGAGCAAAGTGCTACCCYGGTTTCTTTGCAATCGCTCTAAACCTGAGAGCATGACAAATGGAAATGCTAAAATTAGTACTGGGGGAAAATTTTTTTTAAAGTGTTTGAAATGTCTCTGGTCTAACTGGGAGAAGTTGTGTCACACCAAATTATCAGGAAGCATCACTAGGACACGTTGTGCATATACAGTTCGCGACTGGTGCAGAAGCAGCCATCACACTCAGTATCTTCAGAGGAAAGTTTTGGAGAGAATTATGGCTCGGCAGACATGCATGGAATCCTATACACTTATGGCAGTGCTACAATGGCACGTACTGCACATCCAGAGTCATTTCTGTAGGGATGGGTGACATGCTACTGGCATAAAAAAAAACCCTTTASACTTCACAGCCTCCCCCCCGATTTTTGGGACTTTGAGGGAATTTTTTGGTAGTTTTTGAGAGTCCAATTTTGTGGTGGGGGGAGGCCACTTTGCATTTCCACTTCCACTTTCCAGCCCAGAGAGGACATGCCAAAATACCACAAGGAAGGATGCTCAGGATGGTATGCCTGCTTGAGACTGAAAGCAGAAGTGCTGCAGGTCTTGTGCGACTTCACGCTCGGGAGATTGACAGATTGAATGCTCGGGCCGTTTTTTGAGGCCCCCGGGGGGAGGTGTGTTTTTGCAGGAGAACCTGCACCCCTGATCGCCCATCCCTACGCTCCGGCCGGGCTTGTGCCCATCCCGCAGGTGGCAGGAGCGGCCCCTCTCGGATCCCCGGCCACGCACACGCACACGCTGCCCGAGCCTGCGCCGAGCCGGGCGGGACACGGCCCTCGCCCGGTCCTCGAGATCTCAACACGTGAAAGAAAGCCATTGAAAGGGCCAAACCTGATTGGCGGTAGCTGTTGCAGCGAAGGGGACGCTGGTGGCAGGAGTTGTTGCTGCAGACACAGTGGTGGGCGTAGCACCGTGCATCATGGGCACTTTCGGAAGGGAACCATGGAAGCGACATACGGGAGGGTGGAGCGTATATATATTTTGTTTGTTTGTTTGGTTTTATGTAACCATGGCAACATGTGGTGGATTTGGGGGCGTGGCAGGAATCACAGCAACAAGCCATGTGACATCGTCATGAAGGACACATCGGGGCGCAGCATGCAATCACAGTGCAAAGCAAGACAGCGTTGGGAAAAAAAATAAACAAGAGAGAAGGGGAAAAGCCAATTACAATTATAATTAAGGAAAAAACCAAAACATTCTCAACACTTAGTACATTTATAAGCAGAACAATGATGTATTAGACTCCGAGGGCCAAATTTCCAAAGGGGGGAGAGGATGGGTGTGCTAGCAAAAGCCCACGTCAGCTCGCACCCGTGGGGAGTTAGACACAGCCAGTGCACGTTCCTTTGGGTGGGGACATTTTGGCAAGCGCACCCTCCCGCCCGCCTGGGAAAGCTTGTCCCCTTCCCTCCCCACCCCGTCCCCGCCAGCAACCAGAGGTACATGATGCACTTTGCAGYGGCTGCCGCAGCCCTTTCACCAGGTTTTCTCGCCTCTCTCTAGCAGGGACGATGTTTCGGCACGGGGCAGAGCTGGAGGCACGGCAAACGAGCAGCTGGCAGCCCGAGCTCTCTCCGTACAAATTCAGCATGCTTCCTTCCCACCCTAATTCTATAGGATTTGGCAAAACTCCCCTCTTGCGGGGTGGGGGGTGGTGGGGTGTGGAGAGGGGAAGGGACAGAGAGGGAAAAATACACAAATGCATCTGAACAGCTACAATTTGCAGGAAGAGCATCCAAAAGGACAACACRGCAGCAGGGAGCTCGGCAGCCTCCTGAAGCTGCGCGTCCCACAGAGCACGGTGCTGGAAGGGATGCTCTGGTGCACACATGGGCATCCCCCAAACCCTGGGGGGTTTGTGGGGCCCAGGACCCCGCAGGAAGGCCCAGCCATCCCCACAAACATGCGGTGGGGAAGCAGACTTGCCTTCCCCTCCACCCCAGCAGCCACGGCGGGCCCCAGCAGGGAGGGAGCGTGTGCCTGCGGGCTGGGCACGCTCCGGCCACGAGATGTTGGAACGTGTGGGTTGGGGTTTCCTACAGGCAGAGGTGTATTTGAGGGACTCAGCTCCCCGTCATGCAAGCGATGTGTCCTCCCTGTGCTATAGGGATGGGGAGGTTCAAGAGCAGTGTTTAGCCATTCATGCCAGAGCTTTCAGACCTGCTCTTGGAAAGCCTTGCACCCTGCCCAGGGCTCCCACATCTCTCCATCTGGCTAAAGCAGGCACACACCTGGATGCTGGTAGTCTTGCATAACCTTGGCTAGAGGATGAAAGCTCAGCTTTCACCCGCCCTGCTGTGCCCAGCAGCTGTAGACAGAGGGGAGGTCCTCAGAGGCCTGCAGAGGTTTCAGTAAGACCCAGATGCTGAGCCTGAACAGAGTGGATCCCTGCAGCTCTAACGAGCACGTCCTCAGCCCCGCTGCCTCCCTGCATCCCACGTGCACTGGTACCTCCCTATGACCCCCTGCACTGCACACCTGACACTGCCCTACAGAGATGAATCTCCAGCCAGTCCACGGTCCAAGCCTTGCTTCTCTCACTGTACAAGCAGCCCCTGCTCTGGCATAAGGGCTGACCCCAGATGTGTTCSTCTTTAGCACCGTTGTTAAACCAGTCTCCTAAAATGTCCTCAGAAGGACAACAAAAAATCCAAACTTAAGTCTGCCYGTTGCCTAATACAAAAWAAAACAAAAATAAGCCAACAGGATSCTCCCATTGCTATTTCCTTGTGTTAGATGACTTAAATGGGTTGTAAAGACATTTAAGTGACAGATTCTTGTCTCTGCAGCGGAACTAAATAGGGGTGGGAACACATCACCTTGGATTCTCTTATTATAAGTCACATGAAACACTGCACTGCACAGAAATTAAAAGGGATACAACCATTTAAGCCTCAAAGAAGACAGCGAATAGACAGTCACACCACTCAGCCACCCAGGTTCTCACTGATGCATACTAACTTGCAGTCTCTTTCAGATTAGGAAAAGTTGAGAAGTTTGTGTAGAAAAACCTACCAACGCTTGCAGTGGGTGTCATGCACAGAACTGACCCTGCACACCATGCATTGAAGCGTGGAAAGATGAACAAAAGGGATATTTCATTAGTGAAGCTTCAGTGTTAGATATCACTTTAACTAAAAAGCAGGTATTCTCTTTGCAGCATTCAGTATTTAAGCACATGCAAACAGATTTTGCATATTGATATATAAATAATTTAAACTCAGTTTTAAGAGATCATAGCAAACCAAATTAATTCTTTAGTTCTTGGGTAATAGAGAATAAACTTCTCCCACCTTGGTATTAAATGATATGATTGATCCCAGAAATCAGGGCTGTTTGGGATTTTTGGGGTATTGGGTATGCTGATTTCTTTCTGATCACATCAGCAGAAAACAAATTGCCCTTAGAGGAATGTCACACTCATGTTAAAACTGACTTTTCAAAAGCAATTTACCCCTGCAAGCAGGGACTGGGATTCAAAGTCTCTAGATTAAGCTGAAAGAGGCATTTATTTTTTCTGGACTCGAGAAAATTGCAGTGGTGATGCCATTTTCAAGAGACAGCCTGACTTCCCCTGCCATGGCAACCCAYGATGCTGATCTCTCAACAACTGAACAGGAGATTCTAAGAAAAGCAACAGCTCCCTTCCCCTCCCCACGGTGAGAGCTGCGACGTGCCACCTCTCTGCTTTGCTTTCCTGAGCGCTGCCAAGGCCGAGCCCAGATCTGGAGCCTGATGTGTAACATAAATTCATCACAGATCCATCCTCTGACTGGAAATTTGCTGCTCTGCCCAGCATTAAGRTCTTCAGATGAGAGCAGGTGCCAGTAAGCAGCCCTGTTATGCATCAGCCCTGCACGTAATTTCATTGCCACGAGCCCGGCACCACGGCACAGCGAGTGCTGGGCACGGCTGATTTATGGTGCTCCATCAGAAATGCRTGTCCTTAGGTCAACTCTGCCAACTGCAACCTTGAGGAAGAGGAGTGTGTAGCCAGCTGGGGAACTTGGCACTCCCCAGGGTGCCAGTGTTTCCTGGAGAAGTATTTCCCTTGGCATCTGATGGAGCTGTGGTAAGGTCAGCTCAGCCCAGCCCCTCCAACCCTTTGTAGTGCACAAGGTGGGAGGCTGCTGCTCCATCTCTCTGCATGAGAATCCTCTTTCCTGGAAGAACATCTTGGCAGCTGCTGAGTTCTGAGTGTTTCCAAGGGCTCTCATAACAGAAAGGCCATATGAACACAGGGTTTTTGGTCCCCATTCCTTGGACTCATGCTCCACCTGAGAAGGTTTGCTCTCAGGACACAATTGTCTCTAAAAGTTTTTCCCCTGACCCACAGAACAAGGCCAAGGTGCAGGTCCCTTATGTGTTCACTTCCAGGGCTCAGCTCAGAGAAACACTTTGCCTATTTTTGTAAATATCATCTGACAARTAAATACAGCATTAAACATTAAAAACACTGGGCATTAATTTTCCTGTGATGCTCTGAATGATAATAATACTAAAACATGAGCTATCAACTCTGGAACATTCCTAATTCAGCCACTTATAATACTTTCCACTSTAAGCAGGTTTTGTTTTTCATTTGGCTGCAGTTAATTGGCCAGTCAGAAGTCAGTCACATCTGCCACATTAATATTTCCAGTCCTATAAGAATTACTGAACTGCATCTTTCAATTTAACTCTGAGACCTTAAAGGTACAAAAAAAGCTGGGAGTTAAATTGCTTTTAAAAAGCTTAGGATATTGTACTGGTCAAAAGACAAGGAAGAGGGAAATATATGCCTTTAAAGAGGATTATGTAATTTGTATTTACTAAAGACTAACCATTCCCYCTATAAACACCACAGCTGCTGAATATGTAGGTCAGTGAGATAGAAGCTCAGGAAGGTGCCTACAGCCCCAAGAGAGCAGGCATAGAGGTCTGTAAAACATTTTAACATGAGTCCATACGAGTGCTACACAAGAGTCAAAGAATTAATTTGGKATTAACCAGTTGAACCATAAGGAGGAAAAACAGAAAGTATGGATTCAAGAAACATGCAGACATTTTTCTTAGTTTGACTGCTTTAAAAAAAACCCCAAACCACACAAAAAGGGCTAAGAAGGATCTTTACATGTGAAAAGCTCTAAATTGTAGTAGGTGAAGAGAAAAAAGTCAAATAACAGATGTTAATTTTTCATCCATTTTTAACACAAAACTACACACCAATACTTTTTTTGCTAAGGACTCTTACAAAACTGCTCATTAGCTGAACAGCGAGGTCATAAAATAAATAACCATGATGGTGGGGAAAGCAAGGAGACACTTACCTGTAGGGATGAATGCAGGCTGTTGCAACTGCATGTTGGCTAGAGCCTGTTGGTAGTGGAAAACGCTTGGGTTAAAGACTGTGGTGGCACCATTGTTTTTTTCAAGTGCTGGCCTCTTTGGTAAAGGTTGAAGTGCACCAGGCGGCAGGGCCTGTGGATAAGGGAGTCATTAAAGACAAGTGGAGTAAATAAAGGGGCCCAGATGTAGGTCAAGCATGCAATAAATAATAGGGGGGTCTTGGCTGCAAATCACCTGCAACTGTATCAACTTAGCGAGACAGGAACGGGGAGGGCAGCTAAGTCACAGTACAAGTAGTGGGTGAAACACCAGCTTCACTAGGTAAGCAGTTAGTAAAGGCACCAGGAGAAGGGGCAGAGACCAGAAGGAGGAGGGATGCTAAGGAGTTTTTCAGCAGGACTGGCTTGGGTACAGAAGGGGGAAAAAACGCACAGGGAAAAGGAAGGGGAGAGGTGATCACCTGGACAGGATGCTACAAAGAGCAGTTGCAGGCAACAAGCATTAAAAACCCCAAAACAAACAGGAAAAATATAGTAGATGACTATTTAAAAACCCAAGAAGATTAGCATAAGCAACAAATGCCATGGAAAAAAAAGGGATGCTTGCCTCTGGTTCAGCACCTGCCTACATGTCTGTGTGAATGTTTGGAAGCGTTCACACTGTGCAGCCAACCCACGTGTCCAGGTGGTAAAGCTGTAGCTGCTGCCAGTTACACACATAACTTYACATTCACAGTAAAATGTATTTCCACTTGTTAGTAGAGAGGCTGAGCAACATGGTCAAGACCAGGCCTGATTCTCCACCACTCACACAAGAGGCACAGCCCACCTCCAGCAGATTTGGACCTGCTCCCACGTTACAGAAGGTGGCCTCCATCACTCAAATACTGCTCACTCGTTATTAACAGTGGAAAAAGCCATTGACAAATCCCTTCTTTTCATTCTATCACACCACCGGGCTTCTTCCAGCCCGTCAAACCTGTTTCATGATCAGACTTGGTAAAAAGCATTAACCCAACTCAGGAACTTTTCTCAGTGAGTTACTCATCATTCACCCAAGCATGTCTCAACAGCAAAGTAGTATGTCAGGTTCTTAGGAGACAGGAATGTTTCTAATGATTTACAGCTTTTCATTGTACCCAAGTAAGAAACCACTTTTTTTCCCTCCACATTGTGATAGAAAAGGGTCCTTTTTAATTATGCCCCGCAGTCCTTTTTGCACGTAATGCTCCCACTGACGTCAATGAGATTTACGCACGTGGAAGTCATGCAGAATCAGGTCATTTCTGATTAGTTGTTAGTCTGTATCATGTAGCAAAGCAATGGCTGAAAAACAGGGTTATCACTCCTACTTTTATTTTAATAGGTGACAAGTGAATGGTAGGTAATGGAAAAGGTTTGGCTAATGAAGGGTTAAGGCTACAAACACACAGTACTTGAAGAAAGGACACAAGTAAAGAGATTTTAAAGCGTTATGAAGATCAACACACAACAGAATGTAAGTGAAAGCTTGCAAGTTTGTCGCCATCTAGAAACAGGTTTCACTTTAAATTTTATTTGCTATAGGAGACTGCTCATCTGAGAAATGTTAAGCAAGGTACTTCCAGGCAAAACATTACTCCATCCTATCTCTACTCACATGGTGGTTTTTGGATGGTTTTAATATTAAAAATGAAAATGAGAAGAAATTGCATTAGCAAAACTGCCCTCAGACATGCACACATCCTCTGCCTATACTAGCRGGCATCCACTCTCAGCATTAGGATTTAATCTTCCCAGATTTCTTCTGGCTGCTACCAAAAAACAGCAGTCAAAGATGGGACAATATTCTCAGACACAGATGCCAAAATCTTTTACTTAAGATCCATATTTTAGGATGATCTAAGARTTTTCATTTCTAGGTAAGCTTTCATTGGTATCTATGTTCAATCTGCCTGTATCTACAACTCATCCATTTAATGATGGCTACATGAATGTTCCTCCAGGCACGGGACAGACCTGCAGCTTACACAGTCTGGAGTAGCTTCCTGTACATCACAGAGGATTTACAGTGACTGAAGAACTTGATGCTTAAATCCATGCTCTTTACAGTGCCCAATTGCTAAATAATCTTTTTCAGACACTTCCACAATCTGCCTCAAAAGAAGAATTTACTAATTATAGCAAAGCAACTGTGCCAGGCACATAATGGACTTTTGACTCCCTGCTTCTTGGCCAAAGGCTGTCACCACCCCAAAACCTACATTAACCCATAATGGTAATGCCRAAAGCAGAACAGCTGAAGACTTTGAGACCTTGCTGTGATGTTCTGGCACTTCACAGGACGATTCCCAAGCCCAGCACTGCAGTCAGAGGGAGCACACAGACACCAACAGCCACCATCAAGACATATCAGACTCTCCCATCACCTCTCCAGCATGACCCTTCCTCCCGCCCTGTTACAGTCCCTGTTACAGCTATGGCAGTCTCACTGCTCCCTTAACAGTAGTCAGGTGGAGAAACACAAATAAATGCAATATTTCCAGAGTGTTCTAAAGAAACAAATGCTCTGCAGCAGCTGTGCTACAGTGAATGGGTTAATTCGGTTCAGTATCCATGTGACAGTCCTGCACTGATCCAAATGAACAATTTCTACTACTAGAATGCCAGGCAGCCTCCCATTTTTGGGCTGGGAAAGCCACATTCCTGCTCAAATGAGCACCTGAACAAAGAGGTTTGTGCCACTTCTCTGCATGGCATGGAAAGCAATCCCTCAGCAAGACTGACAGATAAAAACACACTGCATGCCAAAGTCAGAATTTCCCACGTGCAGGTTAACAAACCTCTTGTTATTTTTTGCAACACAAGAACTGGATTAAATCTTTGCAACAAACAATTAAATTGCACCTCCAAATTCCCCTCAGATCCCTATCTCCTGGGAGCAGATCACACTTTCACCCTTCTGCACTCAGCAAAGAGGGGATGGGTCTGCTGCCAGCCATGACAAATTGACAAATACAAAACAATCTGAGGGAGGGCAGAGGCAGCACCCGTTCCCTGGCAAGCAGCAGAAGCAATGTGAGCAGTTTCCTCTGAATATCATTCTGCYCTTATCACTCATGAAGGGTTCAGAGGAGGTGACACATTCCAACAAGTGGCTGCAAACCTTTCAGTGTGCCAGAGCAGGAAGATTTGTACGAGTAACTTCTCTCGTGGGGTTTGTTCAGTGGGGGAGTAGTTATGGTCTCTCCCATTCTGCACCAGACCGTTTCCTCAGCATAGTGGCTCTTGGAGAGGCCAGCAAGGCTCTGTGCAGGTCCTGCCTGTGCTGGCTTTGGGGCTGTGTCTGTGCTAGTCCTGAGCAGAGGAAGCAGCGAGGGGCTGCAGCATCACTGACAGCGTCACTCAGTGCTGCTGGCAGAAGCTGGGCCCCAGCAAGGCTTCCTACTGCTGCTGCCTAAAACCCTGATAAGGAAAACTCTTGACTACTTAACCCAAAAACAACTCTTTGGAGAGGAAGGGGAGCAGATCAGCTCCTACTTCCTAGCTCTGGGAATGAGAAGCAATATCAGCTTGACAGTTTCACAGCTTCTCTGTGTCCACTCCTCCCTGCTATAGCTGGGAAACAGGAGCTCTTTTTTATAGAATGTATTGTATCCTTTATTATTTGAGAAAGCAGGAAGGAGCTGTCTTCTATGCAGCCAGGGTTGACAGCACTATGAAGACGGCTTTTGCCTTGCTATGAGCATCACAAAGCCAAATAAAACATATTATTTGAGATTCATAAAACAAAGACAGCTTGCAGGTAGAAGCTCAGGGAGCAGATCCCATGCCTGAGACTGAAGCAAAAGGCATCCAGAGCGAGGTCYCTTTGCTGACACTGTCCCACTGGGGGATGGGAATGAACCACAGACAGAGCCAGCTGCAGGAACAGCCATCTCCCCAGCCCACCCAACGCATGAGCCAAGTCCCACACTGCACCTGCTTCAGTTCCCAGCACAGATCCCCAAGGATGCTGTTTAGCCCTCTTCCCCTAAATCTCAGCTGCCCATTACAAAGAACACCCTTGTGCAGGGCAGTTACCAACATGGCACTGCCAGGCAAGGTTGTGATGTTTGGAATACAATGAAAAGTTACACGATCTGTCCTGCAACTACCCAGTCCTCTGGCATTTCCAGCMCACTGCAGACCTAATGAGCTAAATTCTCAAATTCTCATTGAAACACTGCATCTTGCRACTCCAAAGCTGTCAATGTTTGAAAAAACACTTCAAAAGCCAGAGCTGCCTCCCCCCAAGWTTATTCAGTCTCCAAAACACATCCAGGCTTCAGGAGGCAAAGCTCAGACATTAATGGATGGTGTGTGGGACACAGGATYGGCATGTCTGAACGCACACTGAACATTTCTGGCTGGGATGGGCAGTCTCCCCAGGCACTAACACCACAGACCAAGAGCAGAAGGCTTTCATGCAGACTAAGATGGTTACGTGCAAAGCGAGAAGGTGAAAGGTCCAAGTACCAGGTCAAAGGTTGCCTCGAGCGGTCGCTTCAGTGATCTGACAGCTGGCTGAGTCTTAATTAGCAGGCAGCGAGCACATGATGGCAATGGGCCGGGGAGGGGGGTCAAGCACAGTAACAAAAACAGCAAGCAGAGGTGTGTCAAGAGAGAGCAACAATTTGGGGAGGCGAAGAGAAAAAAAAATTAAAAAGTGAATGCATTATACAATATATTMAAAAGACGAGGCATGCACAACATGGGGTGGCTGGGTAATTACCTGGCCTAGCGGCAAGTCAGTTATTTTGCCTCGGTAAGTTTTAAAAGTAATGTCATCACAGGACACGTGCTTTGGAGCTYCATCACATGGGCTGGCACAGCAGGGCAGGAGCACTCGGGGATTAGCACCTGCCAGGGGCTGGCACTGGCTCCAGCCCTCATGCTGCAGCCACACGTCATGCAGAGGCCAGCACAGCACTCATGGAGAGGGAAGGACCACTGGAAAAGGAGGGAGCTTCAAGCACATGCTCAAGTGCTGTCCTGAACTGGGGACAGAGCCTTACCCAGTTCATCCAGTGCTGCACTGACTTCAGCCAAGCAGGAGTGAGTAAAGCTACTACTTGTGCGTGTCACRTAACTGCAGGATTGGGTCCCTCAGAAATGCTGAATTTAGATTTGAAGTCATTCCAAGTCTGTTTTAAAAGATACACCCATAGCCTGGCATCTGTTTTTTGTTCCAAGAAAATGGGGCACCTTTCTTCCCTTTAATAAAGTMTTACACCTCAACAGGTACAGTAAATGCATCAAACCTCAAAAAGTCAATGAATAATGTAGGCTGTTTTGGTAGCAGGGGTGATGCAACAAGCCATCAATAAATATTTTAAAGGTTCTAGTTAACAGCATACAAATAGGGTTAATTACAATTTTAAGAGAAGCCAGCAGGATGAATAAAACATGCGTTGGCTTTGGTTAAGTAGCAGTGTCCCAGATAATTAGTGAAAAAATAAAGATTCAATTGTGAAAAACACAAGAGTTTCATTTCAGAAGGTTGTTTTTCAACAAACTGGGATTCTTATTTCAACAACAATAAAAACACTAYGAAAACTAATAAATAACTCTACAGGACAAATAAATACTGCAGTATAAATTAATTGTTCAAATTATATCCCAGGTAACAGTGATGCTACAAGGAGGGCGCTTGTTTAATTTCTAGAATTGCCCTGGCTATRCTTTAAATTTCATCGTGAATTAAAACCAACCTCCTTTACTATCTTAAAAAAAGAAAAAGGTATTTAGAAAAATTTTAGTACCCTTAATTATAAATCATAGAGGAGGCAAAACCCCTTTTAATATTAATTTAAAAAAAAATTAAAAATCATAGAAGACATGGAAGGGACCTCTAGAGATCGGCTAGACCAACACACTGCCCAAAGAAGCTTGCGTGGGACTCCATTCAGGAGAGGATGGAGAATTTCATCTCCTAGGATGGAGAATCCTGTTGTAGTCTTTGATCTTTCTTTGGTAAATAAATTTGTACTTGTGTTTAAACAAAATGTCCTGAATTTCAATTTGTGCCCATTGCCTCTTGTCTTTTCATTTGGAGTTTCCCTCCACCTTCTTTACCTCCTGGGAATTTACACACATGGGTGAGATCCCCTGGGCCTCTTCTTCCCTCCCCAGCTCTCTCATCTCTGGAATAAACAGGTGCCATTAAACCAAACTCAACAGAATGGCAAGCATTTATACCAGCTACAAGTTTCACCTGGTAAGTCTTCCTTGACTCTTGCTCAGAACTGTCATAATTCAAATTAAAATGCAGGTGRGATCATCTCTACCAGGTCCAAAGCATCAAACAAGTCAGGAAGTCACCCTCCGTTTGTGTCTTGTAGTTTCATTAAGTCTTGGCAAAGGTATCGGGCACAAGTTTGCTAAGCTCAAGCAACTGATATCCTCTGCTTTTTACAGAGAACAGGCCAGGAGCTCCCTGAAAAGGATGCATTGTGTACTGAGGAAGCTGAACTGGCCCCTGTGACCCAGCCAGGGAAGGTGTTGATTCCAAATGCTGCTGCTGCACTTGCATTCATGTCACGTCACAATGTCATGTCAGCAAATCACGGGGTTGGGCACCACGTCCCTACCTGGAGAGATGTACTGTGCCACTGAGGGCTTCATGCTGTGGTGAGCACAGAGACAGGATGGAGAGATGGGATGCATCTTGCACATGCTCTCAGCTCTCTAGTCAGCCATTTACAAAGCTCTCTACTTTTCCACAAATGACACATATGACACGTGAAATCTCTTAGCAATGGAAATGCAGCTTGAGAAGAGCTCTACTTACCATTGCAGCTGCAGCTGTCTGGTTCACCTGGTGTTGAGCTGCCTTGATTTTGGCTTGCAGGTGGGCAGGGGGATGAAAGTACTTGCATTTCTCCCTAGAGCATCGACCTTTGATGTAATCCATGCAAACTGTAACAGTATTTTCATTTGTGTCTATCATTGCAATATCTATAGGGTGAGCATAGCGGCAATCATTCTCACCACGTGTGCAATTTCCACGCTGAAACTCTCGACAAACCTTAAAAGAAAGTCACATTGTTGAGCAGAACATCAAGTTACTTTTCATTCAGTATTTTCAACACAGAATATCAGTTCAGTTGGCCACATTAGACCATGTGTGTATTCTAAATCCATGTTCATCTGGGGTAGCACATATATCAACAGACACAGGGGCAACTGGTGCTATTCACAACTGCTTCAGGGGATGAAAGAAACCACAAGGTTAATAAGACAAATTACCAAATGCAAGTGAAGTACAGAATTTGTGCAGAATGGAAAGTGATCCCAGAAAATCAGTGTCATTTTCACAAAACTTTTGGAGCTCAAGATTCCTCCCCTGCTTCTAAAGCTTAAATGTTAATAACTATGCCATCTGTGTCTCACCTGGATTATATATTTGTTATGRAGCGCACTCTTGGGTAGGACATTTAATTCTAAATGTTACATGCTGCTGTTATTTGCAACAAGTACATTTTCTTTAATATGAGGTGCCTCTTTCCCATAAATAGTCTCCTTGTCCTTCACGTTAAAACTTCGACCCTGGCATTACATGACAGCACATTTGATTACACAGCAATGTGTTCGAAGGTGTTGCCAAAATAATTACTTGTACTAGGATCTCACAGATCTTTGTAAGTTATGACCAATGAAGCATCAGAGGCAGAGGAAAAGGTTTCACAAAAGGTCTGCAATGTTTCTTGTCTGAGGAACTGAGAGAAGTTGTTGAATACTATAGCAAGTGGTGTAGCTCACGTACCAAAGTGCAATCAGACTGAGTGACTGAGTGYGGGGAAAGGTGAGACATCAGCGAGGCAAGATAAAGTACATAACACAAAACAATGTGTTTTGAAATTACACCCTTCTCCACTATCTTCCTGTGTTATAATTTACACCTGCAGGGGACTCTGAATTCAGGTCCTCAGCCCTTATCTCATGCAGAGCCTCTGCTTAGAGTTTGAAAGACATTTACAACTCCTCCAGCACTAAGCCCCAGCATGCCCAGCCAACTGGGGAGGGACATCTTTCCAACGCCCCACACTCACCACTCCCATCAGTGTAATGCTTAAACCTTTCTGTCAAAGCTTAATAAGCCCATTTCTAGAAAAGGGAAACATTTGTTCCCTCCAAAACATCTCCTGCTCAACTACATGTAAAGATAGACCATCCACTTGTTTTTCTTTTTTTTTTTTTTTTTAAAGTGTGGCAAATCACACACAAAACCCAATCCGAGCCCTACTCTAACACACCCTGATATCAGAAGAGTAARTTTCCCTAATTTCCAAGGATTTGGGATCAGTCCCTGCAGGACTGTCTGCTCTGGCAGAGAGCAGCAACTCTTGTGTTAGGAAAGCTGCAAGTTAAACTCTGTACTGTGCTGCATCAGGTCATTTTAGCAGAGAGCAGCAGCTGGGAGCACATGCCCTGCTCATCCCTGTCAGCAGTACTGTATCAGATGTATCCAAATACCTCCAGTTTATCCGTACGCATCAGTTTCTGCCCAGCAGAGCCTCCTGGTACTGTAACAGTAGGATTTCCGGAAACCAGGACAGGAGTATTTGGTAAAAGCTCTGCAGGAACCAAGCCCATCCCAGGAGAAACATGACTCAGGTAGGGACTAAAAGCCATTGTGGGGCTTGTTGCAAGCGATGGAGTCACAGGAAACGTTGTCTGTGTATAGAGAGAGGAAAAAACAAAGTATAAGTTAAAAAGCTGTCTTGGATTACCCATCAAAGCCTTGCATCACTTCAATCCTTTTAGACAATTTGATTAGCCACATCAAAATGCTATGCTCTCCAATCTATTCATTTATTGCCATTTATTTGTGATCCATTCGCTTCTCCTGACTCACAGATTTGTGACTCATCCTGAATACAAGGCATCTTTATTTGTCAGATCAAAGCATATTGATGATCTTTAWAGTTTAATGACACAATTAAGGATTTCATGCCAGCAATTAGGGCAGGCCCAAATTAAACAGACTTCTCATTCCCAAATAAATGTCTCAGATTCTTTATGCCTACACTGCAATGCTGTGGAGAGACTCCCAAAGTACAGAGCAGCTTCAGGACCTGGAAACAGGTARCCCCAGTATCTGCACTGCTGCATGCACCATCATGTTAGCATGGCCAGTGTGCCTCATGCAGACCAAAGGCATCGTTCAGCCAGCTGATGGATCTGTGCTGCACTACACTTGGTGGTCAGGCATCCTGCACATCTGAAATTGTTTCAGTGTCAACAGACTCCAGACAACCATTCTGCAGAAGGACCCAAGCCTACGCTCCACGTGAATAGCAGCAAGAGGACACCAAACTCATTAATGCCACAGTGTGCCAGATCTTATGGCTTTGGCAAGAGCAGGTGAGTCTTGGCCTTGGAATAGCAATGGACACAGTGTGCCACGTGAGATGGCTCAGTGCAAGGTCCAGGAGCCCACATTACCATAGGGGACAGAACAAGAGGCCATAAAGATCCTGACCACTCCAGGTCCCTACACTGTGTTACGCAGGTCCTCTGAGTGCAGCAGAGCTTCAGTGCCAGGGTGCCAAAGCCACTTCCCTGACCTGAGCCACTCCAGCAGCACTGCCCTGGAAAAGGAGCTGCTGTGCTGGCACACAGGCAAACACAAGGTTCCCTAAGCAGATGCTCTGTTTAAAATCTGTGACTACCCCTTTAGCCAGGGAATTTCTGAGCTTTTAAAGCACCAGAACCAAAGCATTSTTGGGAATGAAACCATTTCCAGCTGATGAAAAATTCCACCTACCCCCACTGAAAATGAGAATGTGCAAGGCAGCACTCCTGCTCCTGTAGCAAGGACTCGACCACCCACCAGGGAAAGCAGCCTSAAACTTGCAACCATTTTCATTTTCCCTCTTATCACCTGCTCCACTGTGAACTCTGGTCCCAGTTAAAGCTGCTCGCATTGGCATGTGTACATGATACCATCCTTGGGAGCTACAGCCTCCACTTGGCAATAAATACAAGTGTGCTTACACAATGGCCTGGGGCACTTTTTGGCCACACACATCATTCCCTCCTTGCTTTTATTTTGGTACTTCTAGCCCTGTGCATTTTGAAAMGAAACCACATATGGACAGTGTGTTCCTCAACAGCATCTTCATGCTGATATTTTCATACTTTGCTTGTTGGCACTGTGGAACAAGTTAGCCYACAGTAACACAGCCAATAGTCTTAAACCAGTTTTAGCTCAACAATGCCCCTTCCTAAGGTCAGTGACAGCAAGCAGCTCCTGAGCTGATGGGAAAGGGAATTGTTGCCAGAATACATGCCATTTTCTCCTCCTCAATGAGGAGACAACCTCTTGTATCACTGGTGCTGGTTGCCTTAAGTGTAGCAGAACCAAATAATTCTCTCTCTGGGAGGGATTTCCAATTTTCCTTATAAGCCTCAGTCAAATACTGTTTCAGCTGTTGGGAGACTTTAGCCATTAAAGCCAGAGATCCCTCAATTCACAGTTCTTTATTAAAWTTTTTTTGTCTCCCTTTCAATTCTCTGTGGCTCCCAGACATTTCACACAGATTTTCAAAGCTGTGACTCCCTGAGCACTTTAGTGAGAAGGCCGCATCCATTAGACTATTTTCTTTTGTGTGAATACCAGTAATTACAGTGGCATCTGCTGAACTTCCTCACCATTTACACTGTAAATGCTATTTTAAGGAGCTTCTCCAGCCCGGCTAGTCTGCACAGGTTATGCTAGGGCTTGACATGCTGTCAGCATTTGTTTTATGTACCCATAGTAGCACAAACCTTACAGTACATGTGGCTTGCACAAATGTGTGGGCAAACCTGCCCCACATTTTTCAGCACCTAATACAGCAGAAGTGTCCTGACTGAGCAGGTGTGGCAAAAACACTGCTCCAAAATTCCAGAAGACGCTTTAAAGCTGGCTTCCCATGCTTGAATTCAAACACAACCAGCAGCCAGGCCCAGGACCTTGCTGGTTCTGAGACAAAGGGAAGATGTTCCCGCACTGCTAAGGGTGGGAATTTGTGCAGACTGGGRGCTTGCAACACCTCACACTGGGTGAATTAATCTGAAACTGGTGGGACCAGGTGAGAAACTTTCACTAAGAGATGATACACCAGCCTCCTCACCATCTCCCATCTCCCTCAAAAGCAGTCCCTGCTCTGAGCAAGGGCTAATGGACCCAAACCCAAGCTGAAGTGAGYGGAGCAAAGATATGCATGAGGAACAACTGAGTAGCACGATCCAGTTGTGACGCTGGAGACTGCAGTGATGCTCGTAGGAACAGGATGATTTTTTATTGCTGCTGCTGTTTGCTCACCCGTTTCCGTGCCCTGACATCTGCTGCCGCGTTCCCAAGGTTTCCCAGGCGCTTTGTGCCCGCCTGCTCCATGTGCTGGCTCCCTGATCGCAAGTGACAGCCGTGCTCCCCTCCCTGCCCGCGGGCCGGGGCTGACGCCGCAGCCAAGCGGGTGAGCAGCCAGRGAACAAGCAGACCTCACTCAACACATTAAACCTACAAGAGCTGGGGTTTGAAGTCTGGAGTGTGCGAAGCGCTCTGAAAACTGCGCCTTTGTGAGCTGGCACCAGGGAGCTCTGTATTTATTGTGGCTGATGAGGGGAAAAGATGGGCTGTGCTCGCTGCCAGACCCGGCTGCCTGTCTTGGATTGGGAAATCCAGTCTGGCTCACGCATCAGTACCAGTAATAGCGATGCTGCCAGCCAATTCTCTCCTCTACGTCTGTGCAGGTCCCCCGTGTCCTGAGGGAATTTGAGCAAATTTCCTCCTTGCAACCAGAACCCARCAGTAATTTTTACTCCAAACAGCACTGCCCTCCTCAACGTGCCTCCTGTCCACCTCTTGTGACAGCTGCGCTGCTTTTGGCTGGGATACAGTTAATTTTCTCCACAGTAGCTGGTGTGGRGCTGTGGTKTGAATTTGTACTGGAAACAGKRTTGATAATTCAGGGATATTTTTGTTGTTTCTAAGCCGTGCTTACACAGGGTCAAGGGCTTTTCTGCCTCGAACCCCACCCAAGCAGCGAGCTGACTGTGAGGAGCAGCACAAGGAGCTGGGAGGGGACAGAGGACAGCTGAGCCAAACTGACCCAAGGGATATCCCAGGTTAAATGGGATCATGTTCCTGACATAAAGCTGCGGGAGGAAGAGGAAGGGAGGGACAGGAGACCTGACAGAGCAATAATACGGCCGTACACTAAAAAAACCACTCAACTTAATTGCTGGTGTGCTCTAGGGCAAAACAGAGGGATTGAAAGTATCAGCACTTACCCCCGCYGCCCCCCTCAAGCTCTTGCTAATTCAGGAAATACAGAAACAGGTTTTCTTGCAAATTAACTTTTGTAAATCATAGCACAGAGACACTACCAGYAACTCCTGTGCAGAGTGAAACAGGTTACAGGSCAGCAGCAAAGGGTTYAGGCTGGCAGCAGCTCACAAGACTGGTTTACTGAGTATTCAAATGCTTGTAAGAATAATAAAAATAATTTTAAAAAGCTGAAATGGCTGTTGTGAGAACACATCTCAGGATAGAGGGCTGCCAAGGACTTTGACAGCTCTGAGCTCCTCACAGACCCTGAGCATGGAAGTTATTGGGTTGAAGGTGTGGGCAGACAGAAGGCACTGTCCCAGAGTGGGCCATTTGTCATGACTGGTGGYGACAGAACCTGGAACAGCTGATTTTGTTAACAATCTAGAAGTTGCATTCAATTTGCCTAGCAGAAATTGTGCTAAAGCTAGAGAAGAAACACAGAGTGGGTGAGAAAAGGAAGGCAGAGGAGCGGCTGGTGTTTTGTCAAACACAAGCTCTGTCTCAGCCAGAAAGTGTTGATTCTGAGTTACCTCAGACCCTAAAAAAGGGAAAGCCTGAAAATGAGAGGCCCACTGTAAATACAGAGGTGTTGATAGCCTGAAGGAGGGGAGACAGGTCACTGTTGAGCAGCTATATGTGGAAAGCACACAACAAACAATGGCAGCTTACAGTCTGGTGACAGAAACTGAGGATAAAGATCTTGTATTGACAAGACAGAAAACCTTGATATTAAAAACATAATTGATGCTGTCAGAAAAACCAAAAAACCCCTGTTTCCCTCCAATGTAACAGCATGGGGCTGGCTGGCTGCAAAACCACCTTCCAACATGAAGGCTGAGCATRCTGGAGTGAATCCAACAGGCCAAAGCATTCAGCTACCTACCACCACAGATGCACATTTCCCCAACCAGACTGCAAAGACAGACTCCTAGCTCAAAGCATCTCTCATTTGTGGGCTGCTGTAGKGTAAAAGACAGGTGTTAACACCCCACAGCACTGTCTCTTGGCAGATACCAGCTCCTGGGTGGGCCAGGTACCACATTCCTAGTGTGTCTTAGACTAGAGGCTGAGATATCAATCACGTTTTTGCTGCATGGAACAAGTGCCCGTGCAAAGCACCTGTTGAAATCAGCTCCAGCACTTGTKCCAAGCACCAATGGCCAAGAAAGTTGCTCACCCTCTGCTTTAACTCCTCCACCAGCACCAAGGAGCAACAGCAGGATCCTGCTGCCCCAGGAGGGGACAAAGAGCTGAGTTAAAGTCTAGGCTGGCTTCAGGGGGCTGGGTGACRCAGAGCTATCAAGATAGTCCTGTCTACAAAGACCTTGACAGGAAGAAAATATGAGGAGCTTGAAAACAAAGAGAGGAAACAGCTTCCCCRGGCAGCAGCAGAGGCAGCTGCAGAGCAGAAGTGGTGGCAGGTGTGTCACCAGTGCCATGCTCCACCAACAGCTTGTTCAGGGGGAGCACCGGGCAGCCCAGTGCCCTGCTCCAATTGCAATTGCACCCTGGGCTGAAGCACCTCTACGGGCAGCTCCAAAAATCTGTCCCCCACTGCTGCAAAGGGATAAAGCAGGATGGGGAGGGTGGGGAGAGGCCCAGGGTGCAGCCTTGCACTGGCACACACAGGTTTCAAAGTGACCATATCTGAGAAGCCAGACACAACACTGACCAAAGCAGCTCTTCGTATCAATGCCATGGCCAGCTCTTAGACAGACACATTCAAGGCCATTTCAGGAAGCCTGGTGAAAAGCTGCTCTATCAAGTGCTGGTTTGGTTTGGGTTTGGTAGGGGTTTTTTGATTTTTTTTTTTTTAACTCAGTAGCTTTTCTGGTGAAACTGCCCTTTAGAATGTGTAAGCATTCAGCTATTGTTTGGAGCTATTAAGCATGCTGCTTCAAATCTCATCTCTGGCAAGCATCCCAATTAAGCAGGCATCCCGTTGATCAGCTTTCTGATCACATGGGATTTGTTCTGCTGCTGCATCTGATACAATACTTTCTGCTTTGACGAATTTCATGTGTAGCCAGGAGGAGGCCCCACCCTTCTCATTTAGAGAGAAAAAAATTCTCAAAGCCAGATTCCACTGACAGCATCTTYGGGAAATCAAAGGCAGTTGAAAGAGCAATCTCTTGTTTGTCCTGAAATTGGTGTGGAGCAAGTTGGGCAGCAGGAATCAGACCAAGAGCTTGTTTAGTCTGAGTAAAGTGTGGGAAAGCAGGAAGGGAGCAGTCACTGCAGAACAAATTTTTATTTTTCTTTTTTGCCCATGTCTCCCTCATGGCACAATTTAGAAACCATCAGATAAGTTTACCTCTGAAATGAGAGCACTAACCAGACAAACCTACACATTAAGTATCAGAGGCAATTTAAAAGGCAGGAGTAAAATTTAGGAGCATACTGGACCTGCAAGATTGCAAAGTGGGGAGATGGGAACTTTCCAAAGAGGAAATCCCAAAGATGCTTTGAATAGCCAGCCAAAGAGTATCCACCGTGAATTCCCCACAGAGGAAAACCCCAAACAGGAAGGGTTTGCTTTTGGTACAGGGCTTAGAAACCAGTGCTACTATTTTGTAGGAATTCAGGATTTCCTTCTGATGTGGACATACTTTCAAACTCCACAAAAAAAAGTGCAAAGACTACAGCAGATAAGAGTCTAAGGCACAGCACAACTAAAGACATTTTCTGTGGCAAATTTTCTCTTTTACCTTTTCATCTTCAAAACAGAAAGAATAAACAGCATTTTTCTAGCTTATATGGCAGAGCCAAGACAAAGCTACTAGCAGACACACAGGATGATAAGAGTGATGGCAAACAGGGAAAAGCCCCCAAAACACAAGAGGAATATGTCAGACTGAAGAAATGCCCCAGTCTGGTGGCAGATCACCATCATGAAGGGACACTGACCAGCTTTCTCTGCTGAAACACAGCTCCATCACAAGCTCTTACACCAAACCAAGCCTCCAGCAAAGAGGAATCCTTCTCTGTAATCTGGTGAGAATAAACCAGAGACACCTGAGCTTTTCACAGCTGGGGTGACAGATGCTGTGTTCCACATGGGCAGAGAGGCCAGGTGCTGTAGGCTGGACACCAGGAGGCCAAGCTCAGGCTGGTTCACAGACTCGACACCTTCGTGCCAGAAGAGCTTGTCCAAGGGATCTGGCCAGTCCTCCCGGGTGGCACAGCACAAGGAGCCTCACCCAACCACAGCACACTAACTGCACATCGCCCCAGGAGAGATATGCAACCCCAACTTTTAACTGAGAGCTCCTAATTAACTCTGGGTGCAGCTTATTCACATCAGCACCGAAGAGCTGCTTCAAGACCTCTGACATTTCTTAAAATATACATTGTGACAGACTAAAACTCAGCTGACAAACKTCATCCCCTCCCAGATACACCAACCAGCAGCCATCTTCTCCCTGGCATAACAGGGTTTTCCAGCCTGAATCCTGTTTTAACTGACAGGCAAAAGCAGGGACAGGCAGTGAAAGCTCCTCTGAATTACCTGCTCTGTGAACACCTGTCTCCCACAGGCTGCCTTTCCCACCTGAAGAGAAGCAAATCTTTCCTGCTATTACTCTAAATCAGTATTACTGTGAAAAGGAAGTGACAGGGCTGTGACATTAGCGCAACCCTCTACTGGGACAACTGCAGTGAGATGGGTCTCTCTCCTWGACATAAAAAAGTATTAAGGTCTGGGTAGGATTCATCTTCCCCAGTTTTAGTTCAACAGTGTAACACATCTAGTCCAAGGGAGTCAGCCTCATCTCAATGTAAAACAACTACCCAAAATAGGATTCACAGGAATTGAGCCACTCAGAACTTCTGGGATGTATATAAATCAGGTGGTCAAACAAGCCTCTGGTGGTAAGACCCTTCCACTGGAAGCCTTGAMTCTCACAGCTCCTCGGTTATCAGAGGAAAAGAGAGACCGCTGGAAGGAGATGCAAAGGCAGCATCAGACACCCTCTGGAAGATTCTGCCCAATTCTGTGCAGCACARACAAYRGCCTGAGCTCAGGGACAGGGCTGGRGCCCYYGTGAGCAAACAGGGGAGGAAGAGGGAGCAGTGTGACCCAATGGATCCGTGGCTGTGACTCACAATTGGCTGTAGCTGCGCGCCCGGTAGCATGAACTGCATCTGCTGAGCAAACATGGCTGCGGCCGTCTTCTGCTGGATCAGGTTGTTGCGTCCATTTATTTCAAGTTGTGTTTTTAAGTGTGGGGGAGGGTGGAGATATTTGCAGTTCTCTCGGGTACACCGGCCCTAAAAAACATAATGGAACAGCATTTTAGTGATTGTAACACCCAGGGCAGCCAGACAAATTTAATTAAGGGTTGTTTGGGTTAACACAATCATCAAGGCAGAGGCAGCTTGGTAGCTACTGTGCCTCTTTTGTGATTTTGCTATAGTAGGTGCAGAGAAGAGCAACATGACTTCTGCAGTAACACTAACAGAATACTATCAAGCTAAACCAAAAAGTCAGGCTTCCTGATGTTAAAATGACTGTTGTAAGAAAAAAAAAAAAACCCAAACAATCTAACACAAACACCAATACTTTCAGAAGCTAGTGGCAACAATTCCAGAAACAACAGCAAAAATTCCCTGTTTCCTTGCGTGGGTTGCTTTTCCCCTCCTTCCCAACACCAGACCACTTAATTGGCCCTGACAACCAGACAGCAAGAAACAAAACTGTCTCCACCACTTCCCCAGCCGCACTGGATAAAATTTTAAAAGGACAGCTCTGTGAGGCTGCACCTCTGATCCACAACATKCAAGTAACTCCGAGATGCTGAGAGGTGGCAGTCACAGGAGGAAGAACTAAAACAATTTTCCCCCTTCATGCTTTTATTTGTCAAAAGTGATGCRTGTTACATCACTGAATCCTTCCCTCGCAATAAACATAAACACTGGCCATACCAATGGCTCCTAAAAAGCAAGAGATCACTGCTGTTATCACCGCAAATCAGCTGAGATCATCACTTAAATATGTATAAACTGTGCATGCTTTAACAGTGTTTGCAAGTAGACATAAGAAAATAAACATCAATACATCACTGAATAAGAAAGCTAGTAACAAATGTTGTCATTAAGATGAAATAGTTTCTTGAACAATAAGGTTTTTTCTCCCATGCCCCTTTCTTTTTTTGAATTTCTTCCTCAAGAAAGAGGCATACAGAAAACATGAAATAATTAATGTAACTTTATGCTTATTTATAAAACTTTTATGGAAAAACGGTGACTTTTTTGAGGAACAAATTCTTTGGAGCTATTCAGAGCCTATTAAAATAAGGCCAGACTTGGGTGCCAGAGAGCTGTTCCATGACAGATAATTAATAATGGTTCCTGCAGCCAGCAAAGGCGCAGGACCATCCATCATCCAGCCTGTCCCAGGCACTCTCATCAAGGGCTGGACACAGAGTTCTCAGCCTCAGTGTAATTAAATTTGCTTTCCAAAAGGGGCACATCAGGTGACCCCATGCACCTGCCCTGGTAGCAGGATCCCCTGCAGCAGAGCTGTAACCCCATAAGCAGGTCCACAAGGACACAGCTGATACACATGGCTGGGCAGGGGGGAACCTCTTGGGATGAACCCCTGATGCATCCAGGATGCTCTCCTGGGGATTCTTTAAGGCTTGTGCAAAAACACAGGTGCAATCAGTGGACAGACCAAGTACCAGTGCAAAAAGCCAGCACCGTGACCCACTGCAGGGGCTGATTTTCAATCCCCAGTCCAGCACCCCACGTTGCTGTAGAGCACCCTAGGATTTCCCAGCTTTCCTCTGTGTCATTTCCTCTGCCCCCCTTCCTGCTGGGGACAAYCCCATCACTGGGGAGAGGGCTRCAGAGCTTGACTGCAGCTTAAAAGGGGCTGTTTGACATGTGCCATGGGAACAGGCTCCTCTCTTCTCTGCTCCAAGGAGATCAGAGTTAAACAAAAGGCAAACAATTAAACGCAAGAAGTGAYGGGCTAAATCCCCCTGGACAGGAAAAATAACCACTTCCAAACTTTAGCAGCCTGGCTTTGTGAATGAAACTCTCTGCCCTGCTACTAAAAGAGGCCAGTGGCTCCCAACAACCCAAYTCAAAAAGAGGCTTTTTAATGCTATTGTTTTGGCTTCTCAGTAATCCAACAGCCCCAGATCTCCAGCAGSGAGTTAATTGCTCACAGGCCCTGAGGACATGAATCTTCATCACCAGACACTTTCTCACATCTGTGTGAAGCAGGGTAAAATGGCACCACAGCTGGCTGCTGCTTAGGCACCCAGCGCCTTTACAAAGGAAATAACTGCAAGGAGAACACTCATTAACCTAGGAAGGTTTGGGTCATCCTTCTCATGGCTGGGACCAGCCTCTCCACAGCCCTTCCCATCCCCTGGGACCTAGCCAGAGCCCAGAGTTGAGCCTCRGAGCATCTCTGCAGTGTCCCACCTSCACAGCTWCTGCAGGGCTGCTGCTGACCAGGGGCAGAGCCCACGGARCCACGGGCTGTCCATGGCCAGGCAGCTGCTCGACTCTCAGCTCCAGCCTCCACATCAGCCTTAGAAATTCCTCCTGACTGTAACTTGGCACAAATTTTGGGTTGGGAAAGCACTTATTTCTACCTAATTTGGAATAAATCTATGTAGATGTTTCTACACTGCAGGAATGGAGAAGATGAAAAAAAGAACTACAATTTTTTGTAAACAATACTTAYACAGTTGACTTCAACTTGAAAAGGACTTTGCTATTTCAACTGAAATTGTGAATATCATTGATACCAGCAACCCCAGCTTGGTGTGAAGCTTTGTTCTACTTTTTTTCTCAAAGCAGTTTGTTTAATTCCAACAGGGGGTTCTACAAACAGAACATTTTTACTACCAATAAAAAACCACTATGCAGCACGAGGCCTTGGTCCYGCAGACAGAGCCTGTAAGCTGAAACCACTGCCCACACAGTGCTACTGGCTTCAAGGACACAAATTTATAAGAGATAGAGCTGTGCAGAGAAAGGCTGTGAAGTGCTGTCAGTCAGGCCTTGGAGGGCTCAGACAGACTAAATGAATCACTGCTACACTCAGATTCAGATCCATACCTTTGGTCTAACTCCTCCTCGCCAACATTTTGATCCTGAGCACCACCAACCACTGTGTTTCACCAGCGTGGATTGGAAGCCACAGCTGAGTTGAGCTGCCCTCTCCAGCACCACAGTAGGTTCTTCATCTCTCAGACAATGAATTTTAGGAACTGATGATGTGACAGAGTGACACAAAATGTTCCCAGTTTAGACATCCTGCTATGTAACAACTTCCAARATGTCTCACTCTATAGTGATGGGCACCACCACCACCCCTGAACTCCAACACTGGTGGGGGTGAGCCCTTCTTCTACCCTTCCATCACAACACCCACAGTTCTTGGTACTTCCCAGCAACACACACACTCTTCAAGACCAATTTCAGCTCTACAAAAGCCGCCAGAAGGACAAAGGAACTGCCATTTTTAACTCCTCAGTACCAGCTGCAACACAGCAGGGAAAGCAACAGGGAACTGGTAGCAAATCTGCTGTGTGGATACCAGGCTGGGGCCAAATAAGGACAATCCCATTTTATACCTGTGTGGTCCAGGAATATAAGATGAGAAAATATAACAGGAATCAGCTCCCCAAGTTTTAGATGAGCATATTTATGCTACAAGGCACAGCTTTCCTGCAGGGACTAGCTGTGGCTCCAGCACATCAAAAACTCAGCATAAAACACAGGGCTGTGCACAGAACTGAGACATTCTCCAAGCCAAGTACTGCACCAAAAAGCACCATCACAGCACCWGGAGTGGTCACTGCACGTGTCAGGAAGGGGCCTGGTGCTCAAAGACTAATCTGTGTTGGTGAGCAGTATGCTGAGCCTGCTGGCACCAGTACAGCCATCCTCCTGGAAATGGAAATAWGAAATTTGCTGCTGTCAATTTAGCCTGAGTACCGACTCCAGGGCAGGCACATTCCCACCCTGTCCCGGGTGGCACACAAGCCTGCAGCCAGGGAATCACCACCCAGTAACAGACTGCTGCTGGCCTTGGTAACATGCTAAATATAGCTGTGTTTTCTGGCTCCTCGCAAAATGGAAGGAGTCTGAAGGACCATATTCATCAGCTTCTTTGCCAACTACAGCCAGGAGGGAAAAGCATATGGACTGCACTTTCCAAGGCTTGAAAAATGGATATTAAAAATAAATCATTAAAGGATTTTATAAAAGTATCTTCTCCCCATTTCTTCCCACACACTCCCCCACCCTTACAGTAGGCTGCTGGCATGTGATTGACTCTGTGTTGCCAACTTAAGTCATGCTGTGATGGCGTATACTGTAAATGGCTGGCATCTGACACCAGCTAATGTGACAGCAGCTTGCACTGCAACAAAGCCAGCTGCTGGAGTGCAGCATYGATGACAGCACACTGAAATCCAGCAGAAAAACCTGCATTACACCTGGCTGTGTGGAGTTTGCACCTTGTCATCTGCATTCTAACTTGGAGGGAAGCAAGTAAGAGCATTCTGGGTACTGCACCAGACTGGATGAACCTACCCTAAGCATGCTGTACAAATTCTCTCTTTCCTGGCTGCTGAAGAGAGTYGAATTGTGCTGCAGAAACAAGGCTTCCAGCACGAACCCCAATGCTTGCTCTCGTGTGTGCACCAGTAATGAAGCTTGTTACAGTCTTGTTAATCCCAGAGTGAGGGGTTCCAGGCACACATTTCTGGTTTTAATGACTGCACTCTATGTCCCGTCAGTCATCAGYAGTTCTCATGTGAAAATCTTCAAGCTAATGCGGCTTTTCACACACTGGAGGCTGCAGTAGGTTGGTGCCCTGACTGTGCAGTCTTTTCCACAGACACTGATGACATGTGCAATGACTGACAGCAAGAAGAATGAAAAGAGACCAGGCAGGAAAGGATTTCCATGTTGTGCACAAAACCAGGCACCAAAACACAGCTTGTCTACATAACTTCTCTCTGCATGAACCAGCAGATTTCCACCTCCCCAAGAGGAACTCAGTGGGGAGGCACATTCAGAGATGCRCTGGCCCTGCTTACTCAGTGCCTGTCGCTCCAGTGCTGAGGCATGAAACRCTCTCTGCTTCCCATCCCACTCACCACATGCACACAGAGGCTCTCTCCTGGCCGTGGATTCTCGTTCCTGCCAGCCTTGCATGGCTTTCTCATACACAACACAACCTCAACCACCATGGTGTCTGCCCCACACTTGCAGGGCAGGCTGCAGAAGTGTCATAAAAT